GCCCCGCCTCGTAGGCGTGACAGTTGCCAGAGTCTCAATGGGGGTTGGAGCTTCCAGATCCAAGCTGGAATGACTACCCACTACATGAAAGGATGGTTTTGTTGTTTTCAATGGGCAAAGTAACAAGGTCTGCTTTCAACTGGTAGACATCTAGGCAATAGGTGAGTAAAAGAAGTCACTGAATGATGATAAGGAAAAGTGATAATCTTCAGATGTTGCAATAATATAAACAAAAATCCGTGACATGAACATACATTAATAATGAAACATATAAAAAAATACTGTTGTAAACTATTTTCCACACTATTTTATAGACAGACTCCCTTGAGGTACGTGTATCAATTCTTAGCACGAACCTAGACTGTATTGTCTTTAAGAATTATAGTTTGCCTCTGTGTGTGTAAAAGAGAGAAGAGAGGGAAAAGGGTAGTGATGAAAGAGAATCAATATATTAGTTGGACTATTGATAGCTGTAAGACTGATAATAACAAGCTCAAAAGAAACAATATATTCACCTTTCTCTTGGGGAAGAACCTTAGGTAACCGTGTTTAGAAGAATGAAGCTTACCTTTTGGGCTGGCAAGATGGTTCATCAGGTAAATGTGCCTTCTATCAAATTTAATGACATGACTTTGATCCCTGGGACCCACATAGTAGAAACAGAGGGCCTACAACTGTAAGCGGTGTTCTGGCTTCCATGTACATATCACACCATGTATACACACAACACAATACACACACACACACACACACACACACACACACAAATACAATATTTTTTTTAGAATTCACCTTTGACTATTTTGCTGAAGATTTTGTGTTCCTCACCCAGATATTTCATCTACTTGATCCATGACTGTAGATTCCTAACAGTTCTATGTCATTATGCCCTAGGGATATCAGCCAATGGTAGAAAAGGGGGAAAGAGATCCTAGAGAATAGTAGTCCATAGACACAATAGGTTGTCCCAGAGTTAGTGGAGTCAACTGACAACTACTCCCATGAACTTTTCAAGGATGAAATTTTCTAGTACACTAGAAAAGCTAGATCTTAAACCAGAAAATGTAACTACTCAGAACCATGACTGAAAATACATAACAGGCCTATGATAGTTTTTCACCTGAATTATTCATAATTACATTTAGTTTATATCTTTATACATTCTTTACAATAATACAATTAAAATTGATTATACTATTTAATTTAAGTCTGTTAATGTATATATTTAATACGTAATCTACTAAAATTTATATTTAAACAGGGTATAGGTGGACATTTAGCAGAAGTTATTTTATATAGGTATTGCTATCATAATCTCATCAAAGTGTAACTACATAGTCTCAGATTTTCAGAAGATTTCATATACCAAAGTAGACTATGGTGCTCAGTAAAGTTAAGAGTAAAATGCAGCAAAAGGTGTCCATTTCAGAAGTAGTTGTCAAGTGGGTAATTTGGGAAATAATGTGAAAGGAAATTAAGATTTTCTCAAATACAGTAGATAAAGCCAACCTATGAGGAGAAATGGAGAAATGTTTGGATCACCAATAATCTTTGCATTCACGCACTTTCACAGATATTGTTATTAAGACAGTGCCTTTAACAACAGGTGCCCTTTATTTTCTTTGAAGCTACCAACAGTAAAAATGATCCATCTATGAGAGTCTACAAAACTAGCTCCAGAATTATCATTCATGTAATGGAAGCTTCCTATAAATTCAAGTACCAGAAACCAAGGTCTAAGCTCCAAAGATACCTGTTTTGCTTAAGCCTGCATTTTAGTTCCCACTTATTATTTCAAATAATAAAATATGGGCTTTGGGAACTTCATCTGTAAGCAATACTGCAAGATAACCAGACACCAGTAATGGGTTTATTTTTCTTTGATTTACAAATCCCTTATTTTAATCCTTTGGTAGTACCTATATCTACTTTCTCTTTACAATAGCCTTCAGTGATTATGCATGTATTCATTACATTTAAGCTAAAATAAATAAAAATCCAATGAATCAATGCCCCCTTTTAATATCTTTGTAATAATATAAATTTCTGTAAAAGAGGAGAATCTTAAAAATAAATTATAAATTTCCTTGGTTTCATTTTAATGTTTCTTTTTTTGTCTTGAACTGATTAGATATGAACATTTGACTATTGTACCGACATAAAAAATAAAATACTTATGAGCAGAGTATTTGATTTCTCACACAACACCACGCACCATCAGTAACTTCACCAGTATATTTTGTTCTCTTAAAGTCTTTATTTCTTTTTTATGTGTCTCCATTAAAATTACCAACGCTGAAGGGTGATAATCCTTAAGCTGGCTATTTTTGCAACACTATCATTAGCTATCCACTGAGTTGTCATACAGGTGACAATAGAAATTGGCTTGGAAATAGGCAACTGAGTAGGGAGGAGGGTATGCCAAAAAGAAGGTGGAGATGTACAAGGGGGTCACTAGTGGATGAAAATAGCCCAAACTAAACTTGGCTTCTTTTACAGTTTTGTTGGCAGGTATGCACTGTTTATATCAGCAAGAACTGGTGTTAACAAGGATAAGCCTAAGGCAACTGAACAGTATAAACCCATTAATGAAAATATCCAATTCAGCTGACTACATTGTAATTACTGAGGTGAAAGAATGAATACATCACATTTAGAAACTGATTTGAAGTCAATTTACAAGAGACAATGTAATTCAAAATAAAGTTAAACTAATATGGCTACTGGGATAAGTGATGAATACATGACCTTTAAGTTTCCCTCCTTTCCTTTCATCTCCATTTCACAAAGAAGTTGATATTGAAATATCAATTGTGTGATAAAGTCACACAAATATGTCTTAAAAAGTATTAAAATAAGCACTGTCAATAACAACGAATAACCAGGTTCACTATGAAACTCCATTATATATGAGCCCTTAAAAAAATAACCAATAGTACAAACTACATGTCACCCAATGGTTTAAACCATTTTCTTCACTGATAAACCATTTTATTCACTAAAAGAGTGAAGATAAAAGACAAAAGAAATGTGTCATCTACATCTACTCTTCAGATTATTTCTAAGACACAGAAAAGCTTAATAGAATATTTAAACTTACTCCATGCTTAATAGAACTAGAGATCAAACTCTAAGACTCCAAACACCAAATTCTTTCCTTTATTTATTTTACTACACCACATAAAGACAAAATATGATCTTAAGAAGAGATTTATATTTAATCTTATTTATTTGTGTTTGTACATGCCTGTTTAAACATGTGTGCATATGCAGTAGCTTGCATGTGGAGGTCAGAGGACAATTTAAGGGAATTGGTTCTCTACTTTCACCATTTACCCTGGGAATTAACTCAGGTCATCAGGCTTCGTAACAGATATATTTACTTCCTAAGCCATCTCACCAGGCCTCAATGAAAGAATTAAAAGTTAACTCATTTGATCTTGCTCTGTTTTGAAAAAGAAAGGGCTAAGCAATGCACTTTGAGACTCAATAGAAAGGGTATCATTTTCAGAAAACATTGTCCATATAATTACTGTCCTCTGTTTAACTTTATCACATAAGCTAAATTAAACCAAAACCCTGTCCTTGATTTCCATTGTCATCTCATTAAAATATTGCCTATCCTATTAGAAATCAACCTCTTAAATTTACAGTTAATTATGAAAGTCAAGCACACTTTCATTTACTGACAGCAACTGATACTTCTAATGAAGTCAGGTGACTTTAGTTCAAATAAACAAATGATTATGGTTGACAGCAAAAGTGTAAACAAGGTTCTAATTAAATTAATGAATATGCTAACTGTTATGGTGTCTTGTAGGACAGAAGAACTTATATTTAGTAATTAGGACTACCAAACATGAAAAAAAAAAGAATGTCATGGTGACAAAATCAAACTCCAGAAGTTTGTAAATTGACAAAGGAATATGGATAATTGTCATTTATTCAGTATCTAGACTCCCTCTACATGAGGAAGGCTATATATATTTTTCTTTTCAAATTTAAAGCAAACTGCTCAAAATAGGATTGAAAATATCCTTCCTGCAACACCATTTATTCCTGGGAAAAGAGAACATTTCACAATTTTACACCCATATTATACTAAAATTACAAAATGTTAAAAAGAAATCCCTGGAAAACACACAAAAACGAGGGCATATGTCTTTATGGAATGAAAATTAAATTATCATAAGATTTTTTTCAGTAATACTTCATGCCACAGGTAAATGGAATGTCACTTTTAAGGAACTTTAAACAATAAAACTGTAATATACCAAAAAAATTAACATCCATCTATAAGAATTCAAATATCTTCTACAAATTTACATTGTGAGAAATCTGAAGAATAAACTTCAAGTAATGAGAGTTGCTTAGTGACAAGATCAAATAGACCAATATTAATAACTAAATATAAATCACCAAACAAGAAAATAAAGCCTGAATTAGAAAATGTGCATGTCAATACTAATTATATCAATATAGATGTAACACAACAAAAATGAAATGAATAAAGAGCATATCAAAAATTATATTAATTTATATATTTATAACTGTGTAAGAGTTTTACACTTATTAAGTTTTTATTCTATAATTGTTGTTCTGTTATTGAATTAAAGAAATGCACAACTTTTTCAAAATTTAATTTTATCATTTATGGTGTTGGGAACTGAACTGAGGGCCCATACAAGACTTTAAGTGCTCTTAATCAATGAGTCATTTCTCTTTGCCTTCTTCTGCTTTATAAAGGAATGGTGTTTTTTTATGTATTCTTTGTGAATTTCATGCAATATATATTTTTCTATTCAAATTTTAATTTTTTTCTAACAATATGTTTTGATCATAATCTTGCTCTTTCCTACCTCCTTCTTGATCCCCTCCACCTCCCTACTCAATCAACTCCAAGTTCTTTCTCACTCTCTCTTTAAAAAATTCAAAATAATCCACATGTGATGGTGCACACCTTTAATCCCAGCACGCAGGAGTGAAAGGCAGGCAAATTTCTGTGAGTTCTGGGCCAATTTGGTCTACAACATGAGTTCTAAGACAGCCAAGGCTATTGAACAGAGTAACCCTGTCTCAGAAAACAAAGGAAAAAATTGAAAAAAAAAAAAAGCCAAATAAGATTTAAACGTATGTGGTGATGTTTTATTTGTGCTTTAATAAATAAAGCTTGCCTGGAGATCAGAGGAAATAACAAGCCATTTTAAGTAAACAAAGAATTCAGGTAATGGTAGCACACACACTTAATCCTATCACTTGGCAGGCAGGATCTCTGTGTGTTCAAGGCCACACTGGAAACAGAGTCAGGTGTGGTAGCACAGGCCTTAAATTCCAAAACTAGTTAACCATGGAGGTCTACAGCTCTGTACAGACAGACAGGAAGTTACAGACCTGGATAGGAAGAGGAAGTGATGTAGCTGAATAGAGAGAGCAAATCATCTGACAGAGCAGCCAGGAAGTCGCGGCACTTGGAAGCTACAGAGTTGGTGAGGTAAGGTTGGCTGGTGGCTTTCCCTATTTCCCTGATCTCTCTAAGGCTTCCACCCCTATATTTGGCTCTGTGATTTTTACTTAATAAGACCATTTAGAAATCTGTCTACAAAAATATCAAATAAACATACACAAAAATATCCTTAGAGTCTGTATTGTGTGGGCCAGTTGCTTCTGGGTATGGGGCCCCCTCTACCGTGTGGTTGATATATAGAATGGCACTCCATGGGAGAAAAATGATATTCTGTTTCCTAGCAGGTATGAATTACACAGAGAGTTCCTTGGTTTGTGGTAGATTTTGTTTTCACTTTCCCTTCTCAATGCTGTTATTTTTATCTGGTTTGAAGTTGTGCAGGTCTTGTGTGTGGTGGCATAATCTCTCTGAGTTCATATGGGTATCAGTACTGTTGTGTTTGGAAGATGACGTTTCCTTGGAGTCAAACACCACCTCCTGATTACAACCTTTCCACTTTCTCTTTGGCATAAACCCCTCATTGTAGCCGGATAAATCTTTCCCACCCACCGGTACCCGAATAACCAGTTACAGGCTTAATATTAATTACAAACTGTTTGTTCTATGGCTCAGGCTTTTTTGCCAGCTAGCTCTTTCATCTTAAATTAACCCATTTCTATTCATCTCTGCATTGCCATGTGGCGTTATCAGACTGCTGGCATCTTGCTCCTTGGGTGGCTGGCTGGCATCTGCTCTGACTCCACCCTTCTTCATCTCTGACTTCTGTTTGAGTGTACCGCCTAATTTTATTCTTCCTCAAGAATGACCAAACTGATTTATCAACCATTGAGAGCAACACATATTCACAGCATACAGAAAGACCATCCATCCCACAGTACCTCATATTTGAGGGTAGAGTCTTGATAAGCACAACTAATGTAATGATGGATACTCCAAACTATCTCACTTTCTTCACATTGTTCATTTGTGGATCTCTTCATTAGTGACCATCTGCTACAAGTAGAAGCATCTCTGATGAGATTTGAATGAAGCACTAAAATATGGTTATAGCATTAAATCACTAGAAATAATTTCATTTATGTATTCCTTTAGCAGAATAATAGTAATAGGTTTTCCTTTAGGCCCATATTTTGTCTAATCTCAAGTTTTTGTTCACTTTAGCAGTGTCATTTATGAGTTACATCTCATGGAATGGACCTTAAGCCCAGTTTTTAAAAATGTATTTGGTTACCACCATAATATTTGTGGCCCTGTTGCACCTGTTTATCTTGCCTGTAGACCTCTGCTGTTCCTGGATTAAAGTGTGATAAGTTCCTTCCAGCAACATGAATGTTAATTGTTCCAGTTATTTAGTGACTCCTTTAGTATATGTATATATTTTAGGAAGGTTCTATATTGGTAGGTCTCCATATGGCTTTTCAAAAGGCCTTTTACGTGTTAGTTGTCCCTCTCCATATTTTCTCCTGCACCCTCCATTTAATCCTTTTAGTTTCCCCTTTATATCTCTAGCACACTATACTCTATTTTCCTTTCTTTGAATAGTTCCTCCTATCCATTGGTACTTTACTAGTTACATAACTTCTCTTTTTATTTAGCCTGAAATACCTTGTTTTATTTTGTTTTTGATTAAAAGGAATTTCATGTGGAACTGTGATATAAGTTGCAATAGCAACAGATAAACCTCAAATTAATTAGAATTGCAAGCATTGATTTGAACACATACTTTTTTTCTTCCTATGGGTATTTCATGTTTTATTTATCCAGTTTCTACCAATAGATCCTTATATTGACTCAAACACTTAGATAGCAGAAGTGTATTTGTATTGTAGTATACATTTTTCAAATGTTTTTAGAAGTTGAGAACTCTTATACCATTTTTTAAAGTTTACTTGTTTATTTAAAGTGGATTTTTTTTGCATTTTGCATATTACCCACTGTTTCTCCTCCCTCTCCTTCTTCCTCTCCCCCTCCCACCTCTCCCTATTCCACCCCCCACCCACTCATCATAGGGGGTAAGGCCTCCCTTGTGTAGTCAACACAGGCTGGCATACCAAGTTGGGGCAGGCCCAAGCCCCCCAGCCCCCCGAATCAATGCTGAATAAGGCATGACACCATAGGGTATGTGTAGTTTTTTCCTGTCCTGCCTGGCCCCCCCATGGTCCTGCAGCCCACTTATAAAATAATCACTCAGAAGCTTATATTTATTATAACTGCATAGCCATTAGCTCAGGCTTATTATTGAATAGCTCTTACTCTTAAATTAACCCATTTCTATAAATCTATACTTTGCCATGTGGCTTGTGGCTTACCGATACTTTACATCTTGCTTCTTCTGACAGAGGCTAGCAGCATCTCCTCAGCTCTCTCTTCTTCTCTCCTATCTCTCCAGTTAGAATGTCCACCTAACCTTATTCTGCATCACCATTGACAAAACAGCTTTATTTATCAACCAATCAGAGCAACATATTTTCACAGCATACAGAATGACATCACCCATCATTTTCCCCTTTCTTTCTATTCAAAAGAAAGGTTTTAACTTCAACATAGTAAAATTACATATAACAAAACAGTTATCTAGCAAGAATTACAGTTACAATATCTAGTCTATTTGTATTTGGCAAAATTAAAGAAAATATTGTATCTATCCTATATTTGTGAGTCTAAAGTTTCATATCTAATTTATCTTTTATCACAACCAAGGAAAATTATAACTATCTAGTCTTCAACTACATCAAAGACCTCAGAAGGAAATAATATTACCTAAGTAAACAGGAAGAGCATTGTAAGCAACTTACAAAAATCTAGAATGACAGAGGCAGCTGGATACCTGGACAGGGGCATCCATTCTTCAGCCCACAGGCCTAGAGTCTCTCAGTCGCTTCTCTCTGTGTCTTGTAGAATTTCTGGCAGTTTCTTCTGCGAAGAAGGATCCTGAAGGACCATCTCATCTTGCAAAGTTTAGTGGTCACCTTCCTATGGGGCCTGAATGTCCAGTCAATACAACATTTTGTCAAGCAGTCCATGCAGGAACAGTTTCTTACCCAAATGGCTATTTTTGCCAAGAAAAAGATAAACTCCATATGGAGTGTCTTCAATACACATCTTTCTCTCTGAAGTAAATCAGTGCTGCCAGGAGCAGACATGTCTCATTGTCCAGGAAAGTCTAAGTTTTTAAAACATTTTAAATGCCATATTCTGTAGGTCTTTGAAGTGTTTGAAGATTACCTACCTAACTGAATTATATCTATGTATACCTAGACAACTTAACGACAATAAGTTTGACTATCATAGAAGACTAATTATTAATCTGTATTTCTTAATTGTTCATTACAATTTAAATGAGCTGCACAAACATAATACCTTAAACAAGAGTAGAAATATACATACAGTATAAGAAAAGTAACTTTAAAATTGTATCAATAAACTAAAATCTATACCAATGTAAAACATTTTAAACAAGTTGCTCTTTAAAAGTAGGTTCAAAAATCTACCCTTTTATCCTATCAAATCTGTATTCTATATTTCCATATCATATCCCATCTTTCCTCTTTTAGAATTATATTGACTATGACCAATAATAATTTTTAACCAACAACCTAAACAAAGACACACATTCATAATCCATTTTTGGGGGGAATGTGGGTGTAGTTTTCTAGGCTACTTCCTGATGATAAAGGGTGCTGTATTCTTATGGAGATCCTGAGAAAATTAAGAATATGGTCAAGTCATGACTGGAATAGTCTGTGAGGCTGCATTGTGTGAGCCAGTTGCCTTGAACCCATTTTGGATGTTGGATTATCTGGGCCATGATATCATCGGAAACCTTTCAGGAGGTCTTGGCTGATCAAACCATATTAGTCTTGAAGCAATCCACAGGTTCTCATCTTCTGTGGAGACAAAAGTGGAACCTCTTTTCCAAAACAACATATCTTTAGACATAAATTTTGAAATCGAGATACCTTTAAAATATACATATTAATTTCACTCAGCAGCTATTATAATCAAATGTCTCTCTGTAGTTAAAAATCCCAAAGACAATATAATCCAGACTCTCTGTGTGATATCCATCTTTATGTGGCTTATTTTTATATTACCTTTTCTATCTCTTTAAAGACTTTATTTTTTAAAACTTTCTATTTTTTATATAACTGTCTATATTTCTTTTCCTCTCTCTTTTAAGTCTATGTATATTTTTATGCACATTATAAACCGTTTAGAGGTTTATCTTGTCTGAATCTGTCTTATTTTGAATCTATAATCCTTTTCTGGCCAGGAGAGACTTTAAACTGCTAAAATGTGTGGCCAGGATGAAAAGCTGCAGCCTTGGCTGCTTACTCTGCCCATTTCAGCTTTTCAACATGGCAGAGGTAATTCACCTCCAGCTCTGGGCCATGTGTGCCATCAACTCTCGGAAGCAGTGGTCTTCCATCCAGCAGCATGTAGCCCAAAGACCTTATCTTTCTTTCCGTTTTATTTTTGTCTGTTATAGCAAAAGCTTTATCCACCATGGACCCTGCTGCCTGACTTGCAGATGCCACCATGTACAGTGGCAGGAATCTGCCATGCTGCACTCAAAACTATACACAGTGAACCCCTCATACTGTAGCTCAAGTCCGAATGGCAGGGTATCTCTGTACCTTGGCATCTCTATATCTTGAACTGTATGAGACATGAAGTAGAAAGCTGTTTTGGGATCCATTAGTGTGTGTTTAGAAGCTCTTTTTAAACTCTTTCAGGCCTTATAGAAATTCAAGAGCCCCATGTTCATACGCCAAATATAGTTTGAAGTTTTTTCTGGTCCTGCCTGCCCCCTCCCCCGCAGTCCCGCAGCCCACTTGCAAAAGAATCACTCAGAAGCTTATATTAATTATAACTGCATGGCCATTAGCTCTTACACTTAAATTAACCCATTTCTATAAATTTATACTTTGTCACATGGCTTGTGGCTTACCAGTACTTTACATCATGCTTCTTTTGGCAGCTGCTAGCAGCATCTCCTCAGCTCTCTCTTCTTCCCTCCTATCTCTCTGGTTAGAATGTCCTGCCTAAATTTATTCTGCCTCACCATTGGCCAAACAGCTTTATTTATCAACCAATCAGAGCAACATATTTTCACAGTTTACAGAACGACATCACCCATCAGGAATGGGCTCTAAAAAAGCCAGTTCACATACTCGAACTCAGAATGAGTCTTGGTCCAGTTGGCAGGGGACTGACAAGCGGATCAAGCCATGCATCTGTCACCCTCATTCAAGGGGTCTAGTGTGGTCCCATGCAGGGTACCACCTGTCAGTCCAGAGTCCATGGGCTCCCACTAACTTGGGTCATCTGTCTATGTTTTTTTCCCATCATGATCTTGTACCCCCTTGATCTTATAGTCCCTCCTCCATCTTTTCAACTGAACTCCAGGAGCTTGGCCAAGTGCTTGCCTGTGGGTCTCTGAATCTGCTTCCAGAAGTTGCTAGACTCATACTTTTATAAAGATAGAGGAAACTATACAACTAACATGCAAAATTTATTATGTTGACTTATAGGTTTACATATTTTATGTAGTATAAGTATAAAAATATAATTTTACATTTAATATTATATTATATATGATTTCCTATCTCTCTTGAAAAGACGCATAAACAAATACCAGCAGTTCAGTAACAATCTTGAAATACCACTTACCACTACAACTAAGCAATGTATTTTGGAGAAACAGCGTTTTGTAGATGGAAGTTTCTGTTCTACCAACATTCCCAAATACCCAGCAGTTGCTTCCCAAATTGCCATACAGAAGCTTATATTAATTACAACTCCTTGGCCATTAGTCCAGGCTTATTACTGACTAGCTATTACACTTAAATTAATCTATAATTTTTAATCTATGTTTAGCCACGTGGCTTGGTACCTTTTCTCATTTCCACATTCTCATGTTGCTTCCTCTGCATCTGGCTGGTGACTCCTGACTCTGCCCTTCCTCTCCCCAGAATTTTTAGTTCGATCGCCCTGCCTATACTTCCAGTCTGACTACTGACCAACCAGCATTTTATTAAACCAATTTGAGTGAAAAAATCTTTATAGTGTACAAGAGCATTATCCCACAACACTTTCCTTTTTGTTCAATTAAAAAGAAAGGCTTTTAACCTTAATATACTAAAGCAAAAACAGTTATTAAATAAATTACAGTAACAATATCCAATCCATTTGCATTTGACGAAATTGGAGATAATACTTCATTATCTATTTTATCTTGATAAGTCTAAAGTTTTGTATCTAATTTATCTTTTATTGGGAGAGATTCGTCCAGACTGCTGGACAAGGCAGGACCAGAGAAAATTCCATCTACATTTGGCACCCAGATGTGGTAGCAAGAATTTCCACTCAAAACATGAGAAATCTTTAAAGAAAAGAAAGATTCTAAAACAGAACTAAAACCAGCATTCCCAGTTGTATCTTTCAGGCAAGCCATGATACAGAGATGCCATGGTGTGCAGGCTTCAGTTACAGCATGGCAGGTTCACAGTATATGGGCTTGACTATAACATGGCAGATTCCTGTCATGGTACACAGAAGTGTCTCTAAGCCTTGCAGCACACTGCATGGTGGATTTAGCTTTTGCTAGTATAAACAACAACAACAAAAAAGGTTTCTGGGCTACATGCTGCTTGATGGAGGCATAGACCCACTGCTTCCCAGAGTCGGTGGTGAGCATGGCTCCTAGAGCTGGCAATAAACATACCTCTGCCATGTTGGGCAGCTGAGGAGGGTGGAGTCAACAGCCAGGGCTGCTGCTTTCATCCTAGCCACAGAGCTTAACAGTTTAAAATCTCTCCTGGCTGAAAAAGATTCACAATAAGACAGACTCAGATGGAATAAAACTCTAAATGGTTTATAATATATGTAAAAGATACATAGGCTCAAGAGAGAGAAGAGAAAAGACATAGATAATCATAAAAATAAAATAAAGTCTTAAAAAATAAAATAATGTATAAAAATATAATAAGCTACATAAAGATGGAAACTACCCAGAGTGTCTGGATTTTGTTGTATTTTGGGATTTTTAACTGGAGAGAGACATTTGATTGTAAAGGCTGCTTCAAAATATGGGTCTAAGGATATGTTTCTTGGAATGGAGGCTATGTTTTTGTTTTCACAGGAAGCAAGAGACTGTGGATTTGTTTCAGGTTAAGATAGATCAGATTTGATCAAGCAAGACCTCCTGAACCTTGACAGATGATATCTATCAGCAAAGGTTATCGTCGGTCTTCCCAGGACTTGACCATTATCTTGAATTTTCTCAGGATCCCTATAAGATTAACAGCACCCCCAATCAGCCGGCAGTAGCCTAGAGGACTACAGCCATATCCGACCCCCCCCAAAGGATTATTGATATTTATCTTTGTTTAGTGGCTTGGTTACAAATTGATACTGGTCATATTTAATCTCTTTCTAAAAGAAGAAAGGGGTGTATGATATAGAAATGTAGGATATAGATATGATTGGATAAAAGGGTAGATGATTGAATCTACTTTTAAAAAGCAACAACTTGTTGGAAATATTTTGCATTGTTATAGATATTAGTTTATTGATAAAAATTTAGAGTTAATTTTGTCATACTGTATGCATATTTTTACTCTTGTTTAAGGTACTATATTTATTCAATTCATTTAAAATTATAATGCATAATTAATAAATGTGTACTAATAATTAGTCATCTATGATAACCAAATTTATAGTCATGTTGGTTATGTTTAGGTAGGTAATCTTCAAACACTTCAAAGACCTACATAATATGTTATTTAAAATGATTTAAGAACTTAGACTTTTCTTACTTTTCTTGACAGTGAGACATGTCTGCTCCTGGCATCACCAATTACTTCAAAGAGGATGATGGACATCAAAGAAACTCCATGTGGAGTTTGTTTTCTTTATGGAAAAAGTTAGCTATGTGGGCAAAGAAAGTATCCTTGCCTTGACTGCTGACAGTATGCTGTACAAATCGGGCAAACAGGACACAAAAGAAAATGACTGATTGCAGAACTTTGCCAAGACAAGGTGGGACAGTCCTTCAAAAATTCTGCTTTACAGATAAGTCTGTCAGATATCCTAGGTCTCTAGGCTAAAGATGGATGCCCCAATGTAGCAGAGGAACTTTGGATGACTCTCCAGGTAGCCTACTGTCCCTGTCATTAGTTAACATTACATCCTTCTGGAGTCTTCGATGGAGTTGAAGACTAGATAGTTATAATTATAGTTTTCCTTAGTCATGATAAAAAGTAAATTAGATATGAAAGTTTAGACTCACAAATATAGAATAGATGATAGAATATTTTCTTTAAATCTGCCAAATACAAGTAAACTAGATATTGTAACTGTAATTTTTGCTTGATAACTGTTCTATAATATGTAATTTACTATGTTAAAGTTAAAACTTTCTTTTTTGATTAGTCAGAAAAGGGGAACTGCTGTGGGATGTCTTTCTGTATGCTGTGAATATGTGCTGTTATGATTGGTTAATAAAGAAGATGCTCAGGCCTATGTTGAGTCAGGTTATTGCAAGGCAGGAAATCCAAAAGAGAGATAGGAAGCAGAAAAGAGAGGCAAGTGAGATGCCAGCCCACTGTCCAAGGAGCGGTACATAACAGGATGCAGGTAAAGCCATGGAACATGTGGCAATACATAGATTAATAGTTATAATGGAGTTTATTTATAAGAGCTAGCTAGTAAGAAGCCTGAGCCATAAGCCATATAATTTGCAATTAATATTAAGCCTCTGAGTGATTATTTTATAAACTGACTGTGGGGCCAGACAGAACCGGATAAACATGGGTCTGCAGGCCCAGGTGGGACCAAAGAAACTTAACAGTTACAGCTTATTCCATTTTTCTTCAGAAAATGTTCTAGGAAAGGAAAAGTAACTGATTACAGTTACTATATAAAATCTCTATATCTATCTATCTAAAATTATATCAGATAGCAAGGAAGCTACAGAAATCTACTTTGGTTCTATTAAATTGACTCAGGAGTAATTTCCAAAATCCTTCTACTTTGACTCCCCAAAACAAGTGGTGAGACCTGTCATAGCAATACCCCACTTCTAATACCAATTTGACATTATAGTATATCTGCATGGATTGCAATTTTAGGATGAGTGAATCCTGAACCAGATTCAAATTATAAACGTTTCCTTTATTTTCATGGAGAATACCAAGATCCTTGTGCCTCAGGGTAATTATCTTTGCTGCTTTGTGTACTTTTCTATGACTTTTTATGTGTTAGGTCCATTCTTATCCTTCACAATACTTACAGGCAATTTTCTCCTATCACTGCATGTCTGGTCATTTTTTATTTCATAGCATAAACTACAATGAATTTGTGTTCTTTTTTCTTTACATGTTTATTGTTTATGTATTCAAACTGAAGGTAAAGTTTATGAAAACAAGGCACTTGTGAATATATTCTATAGCTATCATTTTCTACCTAACTATATTCTGTCCTCCTATTTGCTTATCTAACTTTACTGTATATGTAAATAAAATGGACAGTTTGAGATGAAGTTTCTTTTTTTGTTGTTGTTTTGTCTTTCAAACTAAAATTGAAATCCTGCCTCTGTAAAATAAGGAGCCATCCTTTGGAGTTTTTGTTTCTTGTTGTTCTTTTTCAATATATTCTATTGTGAGATCCATGAGCTTTCTTTTTGTGCTATTTTTGATATTCTTCTATGTCATTATTTCATACAAGAGTTACAGAAATACACAGAGATACACAAAAGAATGTTATAGGCATCTTGTTTCCTCTGTTCCTTATTGAGCACCTTGTTGGGAATGCATCCATTAGTCATGTATATCTTCCCTTGAGTTCTTTGTTCACAAGTTTTCCTAGACTACTTATTCAAATCAGGAAAGGCAAGACTTATCTAACTGTCCAAGGACCTATATATCCACTGTGCTATAGAAGAACTTGCTGTGTTTCCTGGCAAGCTTTTAAAGTGCAGTACCTGGAATGCCTGGGAAATCTACTTCCTCTGAAGTATATCCCAGAGTTTGGGTAAACACCCAATTACTGTGGTTGTCAGAATGTATGTATCATCCAGAGGTAGAACAGAGCTTTGTAGAGAGATAGTCCTTCATTTTACAACAAGTAACTAACAAAAAACTAAGTTAAAACAAAACTGGATAGAATAAAATAAAAATGATTATAGTGTTTTAGAATGAAGTCTAGAACTCTAAATGCATGTGAGTTGTGGAACCAAGGGAGTTGAGTTGTTCAAAGTGAATTCCTATTTTCTACCCTCTTTAGAATGGAGCAGGTCTGATTATTTATAAAAAGTAATACTGCAGTTCCTCCAGGGTACTTCACATTATAGAAAACTCAGAGATTTCCAACTCAACAGTAGTGTCATCTCAGGGCTGATGTTGATTTTTGATGTGAATATTGAGGAGGAAATTGGCCTCAGAGGGGTCTCTTTTTATAATTTCTTCAGTTAAAAGAAGTCAGACATGATCCTGAAGATTTCTTTGTTTTGTTGACTCTGCATTCCTATGATGCACTTACTTGGAGGTATCTCGGTTCCTTAATGAAGTGCATCCAGTGGGTAGCTGAGAGTCTAGAGGAGTTAAGCTTATTTTAGACAGTGCTGGTGGGACCTTATCTACTGATATTGTGAAAATGGAACATTAATAGTCAGCTGGAACAAAGTGAATCATTAGCAATCTCAGAAAAGAAAGGATAATGATCGTACTAAGATGCTGTTTTCCAGATACCCAGTAAAGACACTGAACATAGTCTGTATGGAAGACTGAGGCTTTGAAGGGGCAATGGTATAGGACATAGGAAAGAGGCTGATTTCTTTAATATACTTGCATGTTGCTGTCTATTGAATTTGCACTACTAAGAACTTATTGTCTATTTTAATTCAAATATTTAATTCCTTGTATTCAAATTATAGTCAATGACAAATTAGAATAAAATTATTCATAAGAACCATAGATAATATATTATTGTTGACAGATCATATTTTAGTCAACTGCTGAAAAATGCAAGCAACTATTGTCTGAAATTGAGAAACATAAGATATCTGTCATTGCTAGACCAAATAGTTAAAAGTGAATCAGAAATTTCTGCCAGTGTTATTTTCTGTTGTCAGTCAGCTATGCTATCACTTTCAATCACTTGACGTTTCCATAGAAATCTAGGAAGCAAAGTGATTAAATAAATAAATATTGAGGTTTCAACAATGGCCAGTCATTTACATAATTTTATATTAAATCCAATTTCACTCAATTTGCAATTAAATTTTCAGGGTAGGAGGATATGTTGTTTTATCATTTGAATAAACCATATCCTACATATCAGGAGCAAGAATGGAATCAAGATGGCAATAACCAAGTGCATATGTTATTAATACGGCTTGTTGGTATTTTTTATCCTGTCTACCGAGAACTCAGACCATAAGGCCTTCTCTTTTTTGCATTGTAGAGTTCAATTTGGGTCTATTCCAGAATATTACTAAGATGTCAAATGTCACTAGAGGCAGGACTCTGACACTGGAGACATAACTTTTCTAAATCACTCTCATATGACTCTCGGGTTAATATAAACCAAACAGTACAACAAAAAGGCAACTGCATAAATTGCCAGCGTGCCCTGAGAACACCAATCCCAATCCTCGAAACACTTTTACACATCAAATGGAAAACTAAATTTATGAATTAGGTGAAATTATTTTGCAGTTATACCATCCCAGACACCATTTTCAACTCAAAGAAACATTTTGTCTTAAAAACTCGTATACTTCTTGGTCTATGAGGCTTCAGTGATACATTTGAATACAAATGTCTCATGTATAAGATATGATATAAATTACACTGTGATAATAAATGTGTGATTAATACTCTTTTCCACTCTGTTAGGTGATATCTTCAAAAATCTATTTTTAATTTTTTTCACTTATCGAAAATAGATACTTTTTATCATTCAATATATCCTGATTAGTGTTTCCACTCTCTCTATGCTTCCCAGTTCCTCCCCACCTCCTCTCCCATCTGGATCCACACACTTTCTATCTGTCATTAGAAAAGAACAGAGTTTTAAGAGACAACAACCAAGCATGACAAAACAAAATATAATATGATGAAGCAAAACTTTCATATCAAAGTTGGACATGGCATTCCAACAAGAGGAAAAGAGTACTAAGAGCAGGCACAAGAGTCAGAGACACACTTGTTCTCACAGTCAAGAGTCCCATAAAAATACTAAGCTAATAGCTATAATAAATACACAGAGGACCTAGTACAGATTTGTGTAGTCTCCATGCTTGCTGCTTCACTCTGTGAGCTCATATGCGTCTTGCATAGTTGGTTTAGAAGGCCTTGTAATGCTGTTGTCCTTCATTCTCTCTTGCTCTTACAATCTTTTAGCCTCTTCTTCTGCTGTATTGTGTAAGCTCTGAGGACAAAGTTTTGACTGAGACCTCCAATTTAGTTTCTCTTTCTCTGCATAATATCTGGCTGTGGTAGATAATATCTGCATCTGTTCCCATCTGCTGCCACAGGGAACCTCTCTGATGATGATTGGATAAGGCACTGATCTATGCATATAGCAGAATATCATTAGGATTAATTTTATTGAATTTTCTTTTAGCTCCACAGATTTTGTTTTTGTCCTAGGTCTCTAGGCTATCTTGCCTCTGGCTCTTGGTTATCCAAGCAGTATCAGATATGGGTTCCTTCTTGTGGAGTGGGTGTTAGGTCAAATCAGACAGCAGTTGGTTCCTCCCACAAATCCTGTGTCACCATTGTCCTAGCATAATTTGCACTATGTTTCCACTGCACTAGATGTCCACATCACTGCCCAAATGCTCCCCAAATTCCATCCATTTATCCCATACTCTCTCCCTCTATTCTGTCTCATCCCACATGATCTCCTGCTTCTGCTCATGACCTCACCTGTCTATATTTAGCCTTAAAATCTATTCTATTTCCCTCTCCCAGGGAGATCCATGCATCTCCCATAGAACCCTCATTTTTACCTAATCTCTCTAGGTCTAC